TACAAATGGTTTCTAGAATAATTTTTGTATTAGTATAAACAGGTCTCTAGTCCTGTCATTTGAAGCATAAATGAAAAATCGTAAAATTCTCTTCTTTGTTGCCCACACAAGCATCTTGTTCGCCTCTTTATATTCTCCACATATATATATATATATACATATATATATTTATATTTTATCAATATATATGTATGTTCTTGAAGAGCAAGAGGCCTTCTAAATTACTCCCTAAAAACTATTGTTAAAGTCTGCATATCACCATATTTTTGCTCTTTCTCTCTAAGATGATGTGGTTATCACAAATAATCATTGATATCTCACTATTAATGTTTTCCTAACTGTGAAGTACTTTCATATGACTAAATAAAACTGAATCACTACTCATTTTTTGTTATTATCTAAATAGAATGGTATATAACTTAGAACAAATATTACTGCTTTATTATTATCCATAATTTATTTTAACCGCATTATTTTGTTTTTTCTTTTTGGGGTTTTATGGCGGACAATAATTTCACAAGGAAAAAAATATAACATATTATATTTCCAAATAATATGAACAAATATTATTTTTAGGGGCATTTATATATATGTACCATCCCAATTCCTATGTATTTAAATATCTAACTCCTGAACTTTACATTTAACACCATTTCATGCAAATGAACAATAAATGTGATACACCACCAACAAATTTTCATCCTCATACATGAATTTCATTGCATGACATGAATTTCGAGATAATATTTTGAGCCAGAAATATTCAAATCTTGATAAAAAGTTATTCATACATTTGGTTTCAGCAAACTTATAGTCAAACTGACCGACTATATGAGAGAGACCCAATGATATAAAAACTAGTCCAATCTGAGGTAAATAATGCTTAGATCAAGTCATTAAATCACTCTTTAAAGATTTTCGGAGACATTTACAAGGTCAAAATGATGTCAAATCTATCAGATTTATAGCCAAATAGAGTGTCTCGCAAGTCGTATCCAACTAGCCCAAGATTGCTCAATTCTGACATCGTTAAGGCACTTCAATAACCATCAAATGTCATCTGATCGAAGAAAGTGCCGAACTGTCCCATTAAAATAGTTCATACTCTCGCATTAATTACGCCTAGAATACTATAAATATAGTCCCACGTCTCCATGAGTTGGGAGTCTGAGTCTTGAGAGAGAATTTAAAGCTTTGGGAAGAAGCTGAAGTCCATCATTATCCCGACCATTGTCGAACACCGCTGACTGTCATTGACAACTACAGATTGTTTTTGAGCACCACTAATCACACGACATCAATCGACATTATAACTTTGAAAAATCTAGTAACTTTCTTTTCTATCTGTGGGACAAGGAATATGTGTAATCATAATCAATAGTAGATTTTTACAACTGGGTCAGGTATCGTGGTACTTTCCATTTACGGGTTTTTCACATAAAAATGTTTGGCGTCATCACTGGTTATTTTTCTTTCATCTGAGTGTGTTCTGAATTCTTGTGCAACACTAAGATGATAATTCATTACTCTATTGCTGAGAATTTTATAGCAAGCATCGAAAGGTGAGGCGTTCGTATGTGTGGTATGCTAACATTTTTAATCATATTTTTAGCAGAAAATTAGGCAATTGTTTAAACTCACAAAGAACGGCCGGCTATTAAAATCTTCTGATAATATTAACTCTAAAAATGTGCATATTATATTTAGGCCGATTAAATTTAACTATTAAAGTTTAAAATTAATGATAGAAAATTACATTATGAGTTTGAAATAATCACCATATCTTATGATAATATTTTATAATCTTGCATGAATCCTGTTCAAAATTGTTTTTTTTTTTCCACGTAAATTTTATAATATAGAAAAAAAATTATTGCTTTCTTATAATTAACTTAATGCGTCCGAAGAATAGCACAAAAAATTAATTACTTCTCATCTACCTATCTATCTATACAGTTGAGATATTAAATTTGACGAAAAATTTTCTGAAATTGGAGCTGAAATTAAACAGAAATTAATTTCAAATTTGCAAGCTAAAAATTACAATGAGATGTGTTTAATCATATGGAATTATTTGGTGTGCAGCTGCTTATGACTTTCTTCTTCCGCTCACCGCCTAGATTGTCCTGGCCTTTCGGTTTCCAAAGGCAAAATAGATAATATTTTTAATGGGGATATCACTTGTTGTATTTGATACATTCTCCATCATAACACTCAAAGCCGATCAATTCAAAGGAGATGATTCGTGGAGTAAATAAAAAATGAATGGAGTTTTATCTTACGTCTTTTATAAAAATCAAAGACATGGAAATCAATGGAGAACATACATATCAAATATATTTTTACATTTGATTTTTCTATTCATTTCACACCGTGGCATTCAAGAAGTATGAGAATCGAGAAACTAAAACACGTGCATCTAAATTATGCTAATGTTGATTCTGAAGAGATCTAATAGCGCAGAAGAAGAAATGCAACTAAGAAGATTCCCACTCATAAGAAGATCACAAGACCTACATATCTAATCGAGTGAAGTTGTCCGAGTCAAGCTAACAAAGCCAAAGCTGACCAAATCACGAGTCGGTCCTAAGATGACTGGAGTATACAAGAACGAGTCACTCAGCTATAAACAAAACAAAAGAGTATTTGAGTCAACGCTCACAAAGAGTTGATCCAAGGGACAATCTGATTCCTTGGTATCACTAACAATCCCATATAAGGCTGTCAAAACGGCTCGTTGTTCGCGAACCGTTCGTGTTCGACTCATTAAGGAGCTCGTGTTCGGCTCGCGGCTCGTTAATTTTGTTCGATAAGTTAAAGAGCCAAACACGAACTAAGATGTGTTCGTTCGTGTTCGGATCGTTTTGGCTCGAAATGCTACTCATCAAGTTTATATATATTAAGTAGTATTTTAAAAAAAATCTAATTGACTACAAAACTACAAAGATTTATAATCAATTAAAACATTGATTAAGAAAATAGAATAAAAATTATTAAATTAGTTTCAAATGATGTTTTAATATAAATAATAATTTTTAAATCTTGTTCAAACCTTTATTGTCTTATGACTACATTATTATGGTTGTTAAAAGGACTTTTTGTTAGTGAACAACTCGTGAACACACTTTTTGAGCTCGAAATATAAACGAGCCGAACATGAGCTGAGCATGGATTGCTCGTGTTCGGCTCGTTTACACCCCTATTCCCATAGATGCCCAAAGACTTCTCATCAAGATTCATTGGTCGAAAGTTGGGTTATATCAACTAGTCCACCCATATCGACCAAGCTCACCCAATTGAGCTGTTATTGTCGACTTGAAACCAATTAATTTTATTTGGTTGAGCCAAAGAGTGACTGGACGATAAACTCATACATGTAAAATACCATAAATATCTTAGTGCGTACTCATTTAAAATAGGGGCAAAAAATATAACATCACCATAGTGTACACTCTCATCTATAAATATGACAATTATTTTATGAATAAGACACGATTAATCACAATTTATCATTTTTCACTCTCTATCTTTATGTCCCTCTCTCTCTATCTATCTGTCTCTTCCTATTTATGCTTTATTTCTTGAGTGTGATTCACTGACAAATAGTAATTACGAACATTGCATCAAATATAATTACTTTAAGTGGCAGATCATGAGATTTCTAAGCTAATCAAAATTGGCTTATAAAAGACAGTTTCTTTTTTATTTAATATATTTTCATGAATATAATCTTTAGTAATTTGGTCTTCTATTCGGCATGACCGGTTCACTAATCATACCTCCGTCCAGTTCAGAAAGCTCATGCTTACACAACCAACCTTCTAAAGCCCAATAAGATGGCCCAACAAGTAAGAGGCCGCAAGCACTTGGGCGCGCAATGTCGGTTAAGGTTGTGTAAGGGGATGAGGAAATGAAGGAAGAGAAATAAAGCTTTGCCGTCAAACCGACAACAGTTAAAGTTGCCGAAGGAGAGGATAAGCTCCAGAGGAACAGTCCAACAGTTGAACAAATGCTTTATTAGCTCTCCACCCATTCACGCAATCTACATCTATATATTATTACACATTCACCCATTACAATTTTTATATTTACATACACGTACATAACATTCAAATTTTTTTTTTTTTTTCATGTTTTGATATATCTTTTCATGTCTTAACATATATTTAATATTTCAAGTTCTTGTTATGGTCTCCAACCTTCACATACATATATGCATCAAACCATTTATGGCAATTGTATTCGTTTGAAGAACCAAGTAGTGCATATAAATTTGATATTACTTTGCCATCAATTTTTGTGATGCCATACCCAAGCAAAATATTCAAATTATAATACTTCAATACATATTTGGTAATTGAAGGGCGTGATCATGCCATTATGATCATCAATGACATTATAACATTTAATGTTGCCTCTTAAATACGTTAGTACTGATGATTGTCTAAGGGTCTGTTTGGAACAGCTGCAGCTGTTTGAAGGAGCAGTTGTGAAACTGCTAAAGAAGAAGCAATTGTTCAAAAAACTGTGGTGACTATTATAAAAAATAAAAAATAAAAAAAAAAAGTCAGGTCGCGATTTTTTGGCAACCACCTCAGGTACCCAAGTGTAGTAGGAAAACACAACTTTCAGCTGCACTTTTTTTAGAATGTCGGTTAAACTTAGTATTATCAAACATAAAAGTCTGCGGTGTGGCATCATACCGTCACCGTAGCACTGCCCAAAAACACACCCTCAAATTTGCTCAAATTGGTAATTAAGAGTTTGCATATATTTGAGATCAAATTTTCTCAAAATTTTCAAAAAAAAAAAAAACCTTAATGTTTTCTTAAAAAATAGAATAACAATTTTCTTTTTTTATAAAAACTATATAAATAGTTTAAAAATATATAAATGAAAATTCATAATTAAATATTTTCAATATGCATTAATTTTTTCAGTCCAATTGAATTTCAAAATAAAATGATTATTAATAAGCATGACATAATATTTTTCAAAAAATGGCATTACATAAGGATGTGAATTATGTGTGGATCGATAATATTGATGTGTTATTGATGATATTGGGTGCAATATCATTCCAACACCAATTACACCCCCAACCCGAACACCTGTCCGCACGTGCACCGGGGCATTATAGAAAAGCTGGGAAGCTGATGGTCAGTAGCTTCCAAATTAAACAGAGGGCCGGAATGCAAACTTCCTCTCCGTCCTCCGGCGAACTCGCCGCCTCCAACTCCTCCTCTCTCCGACGTCCCCGCGGCCGTCCTCCGGGTTCCAAAAACAAGCCGAAGCAGCCAATTACTGTTGCACATGAAACTCCCAGCTCCCTGAGATCCCACTTATTCGAGATCACAACCGGCTCCGACATCATCAGCTCTATCGCCGGTTATGCTCGCCGGAGACATCGTGGGGTCTACGTTCTCACAGCCACCGGCGTAGTCGCCGACATATCTCTCCGGCAGCCCGGAGTGCCACCCGGCTCCGATGTAGCCGTGCTACGCGGCCGTTATGAGATTCTTTCCCTCACTGGATCTTTCTTGCCGGCAGCAACAGGGCTGGCCGTGCTTCTTTCCGGCGGTCAGGGGCTGGTTGTTGGGGGTTACGTCGCCGGCGAGCTCGTGGCCTCGGGTCCGGTCATGGTTGTTGCCGCCACCTTCAGGTAAGATCAATTAAAAAAAACGTTTTTTTTATAATTATATTCAACTTAATAAAAACATTATACAAAAAAAATTAATTTAAATGTTCGATTGAACTCAGGAACGCCGTGTACGAGAGACTGCCTATAGAGGAATCAGCAACGGCGGCGGCTGCAAGTTTTGAAGAGATGAAAGAGAGTAGAGTGAAAGGAGGAGTTTTGGTGGGCTGCGGTGGAGCATCGCAGGCGGCGGTGGCGGAGAAAAGATTACCGGCTATGCAGAACTATAACATGCCGGCGCCAAAGCTACTCTTGAATGAGGTGTTTGGAGGTGTTTGGTCTGCGGCGGCGGCGGCGGCGGGGGGCGGCGGCGGCGGTGGGTTCTAAGCCTCCATTTCATACTAATTAATTGCTTTAAATGTCATTTTGATTATCTGATTTCGCTAAGGCTTGTACTTTAGTATGCTCTTCTTCTTCTACTTCTTCCTTCTTATTTCGAGTAATCGTGTGGTTGAAATTTGTACAGAGATCTATTATAAGACATAATTTTTTTTTTCTTATACCGCCCTTCGATTTGTTTCATTCCATCCATTATTTTATCATGTAAGATGAGTACCAATGGCCATATATTTAATGGAGTTTCAGTAACTAATTAAAGTGATATTTTGAATATTAGAATAAAGAGAGATGAGGGAGTGATAGACAGGAGAGTCTTATACATTGGCTCATCATTGATTTCATTATGGAAATGTACTTTTTCTTATATTAAATGTTGTAAGGGAATGATATTAAAATTATATTTACACTTTACACTTTATAACACATTAAAATATAAATATAAAAATCTACATTGGAGCATTTTTTTTTTTCTATTGTGAGGCTTTAGTTAATAGTTAGCTTAAAGCTTATATGATTTGAGGAAATAAGATTGTTTATTGCTAATTGTTTTGGTAGTTTCTTTTATTGAGATCAATAGTGTATCCTCGGAAAATGTAGCTCGAGACGGCATTATTTAGGCGATTTAAGTCAAGTTAATTTGTGTGATTTAGCTCAATTGTTAGTGAATTATTGTTAAATGACTTATTTGGCCTACAAAATATTAGATGCACATTATTAATTGTAAATAAATAGAAGTATATTTTTTAAGAACATGAGTACATTATTATTGGGGCTGTAAAAAAAGCTCGTTGTTCGCGAACAACTCGTGTTCGGCTCGTTAAGTAGCTCGAGTTCGGCTCGTTCGTCAAGTAAACGAATCGAACACGAACAAATTTTTAAAGCTCGAATTATAAACGAGCCGAACGCGAACAACTTCTTGTTCGCTCGGGTTTGTCTCGTTTTAGCTCGAAAAAAAAAAATTATATAGATATTTATATAACAATATATTACATATATTATTTATATAATAATATATTATATATATTTATGTCCAAATTTAAATCATAACACCTCATGTGACAATATAGTTAGTGCATTCTTTTATATATATTTGGTCCAAATTCGAATCTCACACTTTACATCTATTTTTCTCAATTTAAGTTTAACAAGTAAATTTCGAGCCGAACACGAGCGGAATACGAACACGAATATTTTAATCGAGCAGAACATAAACACACTATTCACGAGCCGATTTCGTCACGAGCCGATTTCGAACGAACACGAGCTGAACACGAGCCAAGCCTAAGCTCGCTCAAGCTCGGCTCGTTTATGGCCCTAATTATTACTTATTAGAATATAAAAAGCAATTATTGAAAAAGTAAAATATCTACAAATTATAATATGAATATTGGTTTTTAATTGCAGTATGTAAATCCAATGATGGAATTTAACATATTTATTCAATTTGAAAAACATACTTTATGATGAAGCAACCAAATTAAACTTTAGTCTGCGAGTGAGATTTAAGTTAATTATTGATAGGTACGCTTTGGACATTTTATGGGGTTCGATGAGCTCACAGAGGCTTTGCGTTCATTTATCGGAGAAATGGTGGGGAGATTTGGGTAAGAAAGTGGGAGAAGACAAGACTTGTGTGCCCTCTAATGCACTGAATCTTTCCATAGGTGGTTGGACTGAATTCCTGCATGCACTGCTCCCCATCAAATCACAAGAATTTCTTGCCTTAAACAGCGACTAATTGATCCCTCAAAAATAGACCCCCAGGTCACATCAATGGCGCCCACATCCATTTTTTCCAAAATCAAATTATTGATGTTTTCTCCTTCTTTTCTTTATTCACATCTTTAACGGCTTCTCTTTATTCGGAGCTAAAAAGGAAAAGAAATACCGAGATATCATTGCTCTCGCAGATGCTTATGGACAGCTACATACACGTTCAGAAAAGTCAGAGCAAAATACAAAAAGTCAAAAGAATTTACACTCACATGTTACATGAAGAAGAGAAGTGAAGAATACCTGCATTGCTCAATCATCATCTATGTAGATTGTTTCTTGCTTGAAGAGTCCTCCGAATACACTCCTCACATCTGCTTTTGTGGCTTTTTCCTCTCGCTCTACTTGTTTCTGCTTGGGTATTGGCTTTGATTGCTGCTGCTTTAAAACAGCCTTTCTTGGAGGCAAAATGGAGGCGTTGGCCTGGCCTCTGGTGGTGGCGATTCGAGTCGGTGGAGGTGATTTGCTATTAGATGAATTTGGAGAGACTGCGGTCGTGATTTGTGAGCTCAGTTTTTGCCAGGAGAACTCCCCGAGACCTTTTGCCTTGCTGATGAGATCTTCTAGTGTTGAGCCAGCTGCCTCGGCTCTAGCTTGAGCTTCCTCAGCGAGGCTGGCTGCCTGGGTTTGTTGCTTTGAGAGTTTCTGCACCTCTTCTTCAAGCTTCTTGGCAGCAGTTTCAGCTTCACGAGCTTTCTCTAAGGCTATAATGGCTTCTTCTTCAGCCTTAGCCTTCGCTTTTGCCAGCGCCTCGGCATATGCCTTTCTTCTTCCATCTTCGGGAATGGCGCTGGATAGGAAAAAGAGCGTAATTTTAAATTATATGCAAAGACAATTATAATAAGTGTTGAGAAATTAGGGTGAAGAAAAATAAGAACGACACAAATTCATAAGAACACAAAAATTTAATGAGGTTCGACAAAGATGCCTACGTCCTACGGAGCAGAGCAGCGAATTTCTCGAATATTTAGAAAAGTGAATTACAGAATACAGAATATGGGATCACACCTAGGGTTACATACAGACCTATTTATAGTCCTAGAAAATCCTAGAGTACAATATGTAATTACCAAATTAGCTTTGTACCTCACCCCCAACCTACATAAGAAAACTCTCCTAATTTGGACAGAATATTCCGCTCCGCTCCAGAATTTGTCCATTTATGGTATATGAGTCATATCTAACAAGTCTACACCTTGGCGAATATCCAGCCTCTTAGGAGAAATACATCATGGAGTTTCTTACATACCATAAGTGGGTTGGGCCACCATGCCTTTCTAGCAACGACAAACATTCAACAAGCCCAAGCAATGCAAGAACTTGTTGATGGTAACTGACTTGGTTAATATATCAGCTGCATTTTCATCAGTATGAACCTTCTGCAACAGTATCTCACCAGAAGCAATCAATTCTCTGATCTTGTGATACCTGACATCAATGTGTTTGGTTCTCACATGATACACCTGGTTCTTAGCCAGATAAATAGCACTCTGACTGTCGCACTGCAACTGAACTCCACCTTGCTCAACGCCCAGTTCCTTTACTAGCCCAGCAAGCCATAAGACTTTTTTTGCAGATTCAGCTACTGGCATGTACTCAGCTTCAGTTGTAGATAATGTCACAATATAATGAATTGTTGATTTTCAACATATAGGCCTCCCACCAAGAGTAAACACATACAAAGTTGTAAATCTTATGTCATCCAAATCATCAACATAGTCAGAATCAAGGTACCCTACAATTGAAGGATCATCCTGTTGACTGCCAAAACTAATTTCATGTCCTACAGTACCCTTTAGATACCTGAAAACCCACTTGACTGCTTCCCAATGTCGCCTTCCAGGTTTAGTCATGTATTTACAAACTTGACTAACAACATGAGCCAAATCAGGACGAGTACATATCATTGCATACATCAAGCAACCAACTGCACTGGCATATGGAACATTTGTCATATCTTCGATTTATGTATCTGTCTTAGGACACTGTTCTGAAGAAAGCTTAAAATGATTTGCCAAAGGAGTACTTACAGACTTTGTTGTTCTCATCTCAAACCTATCCAGCACTTTCTCAACATAGTCTCGTTGAGATAAACATAATAGCTTGAGTCTCTGTCTCGATGAGTCTCCATTCCAAGAATCTTCTCCGTAAGGCCCAAGTCTTTCATGTCAAATTTCTGGCTCAATAACCTGTCCAGCACTTTCTCAACATAACCTCGTTGAGATAAACATAATAGCTTAAGTCTTTGTCTCGATGAATCCTCATTCCAAGAATTTTCTTCGTAGGGCCCAAGTCTTTCATGTCAAATTTTTTGCTCAATAAAGCTTTCAAACCACGAATGTCATTCACATTCTTTGCAGCAATCAATATATCATCAACATACATTAACAGAAAAAGAGAACGATTATCAAGACTCGCATAAACACAACAATCATACTCACATCTCTTGTAGCCGATCTGAATCATGTAGGAGTCAAACCGCTTGTACCATTGTCTTAGAAACTGTTTCAACTCATACAACGATTTCTTTAACCTGCAGACCAGATGCTCATGTCCAGGTTGAGTGAACCCATCTAGCTGCTCCATGTAAATCTGCTCCTCTAGATCATCATACAAGAAAGCAGTTTTAACATCCATCTGCTCCAAATGCAAATCTCAAATGTCTACTAATGCAAGCACTGCCCTGATTGAAATGTCTGACCACAGGAGAAAAGATTTCATCATAATCCATCCTCTTATGCTGTGAAAATCCCTTTGCTACCAGTCGAGCCTTGAACTTTTCCTAATTTCCTTTTATACACCCACTTGCAACCAATGGTCTTCTTTCTCTCAGGAAGCTGAACTAGCTCCTATGTGCGATTTTTTCGCAAAGACTTCATCTCCTCAACTATTACACCCATCTATTTTTCTTTCTCCTCAGCCATTGCACCCATCTATTTTTCTCTCTTGGCTAGTGATATCTCCTTGAAAAGTGACTAGATCATCGCTGCTGATGAGAAGTGCACAAGAGACCAAGTCTTCATAACCCAATCTGCTAGGAGATCTTATATTGGTGTGTCTTTGTTTGTCTCTGACTATATTGTAATTCTGCAGATCATATGGAATGGAATCACCAGGTGTTGGATTTGAACTTTCAACTCTCTCAGTTGCCACTGAATGTTGTTCTAAATCCATATGCACTGAATCTGAACTGGAATTGTTCCCTTGCACCTTTTCTTGATTCTGCTGTAACATGGACTGTTGATCAAAAACTATATCTCTGTTGATCACCATTTTCTTTGCAATCGGATCTCAAAACTTGTATCTTTTCACAAATTTCTTGTAGCCCAGAAGGATGCACTACTTAGATTTTGGATCAAGTTTTGATCTTTCATCTCCAGGTACATGCACATAAGCAGGATAACCAAAAATCCGTAAATGATCAAATTTAACTGGATTATCTGTCCATGCCTCTTATGCGATCTTGCCACCCAACGATGCCCGAGGCGATCTATTGATGAGATAACATGTCATATTCACAACTTCTGCCCAAAAACTCTTAGGAAACCCTGCATTTAGTCTCAAGCATATTGCTCTTTCAGTTAAGGACTTGTTCATCATTTCTGTCACACCATTCTACTGTGATGTCTTACGCATTGAAAAATGCTTATGAATCTCATGCTCCTCACAAAACTTCTGAAATTGCGAATATGTGTACTATGTGTCATTATCGGACCTCAAATACTTAATCTTTCTGCCAGTTTGGTTCTCCACCTCAACTTTCCACAGCTTGAATTTAGAGAATACCTCAAATTTCTGCTTCAAAAAATACACTAAAAATTTCCTGGAGAAATCAACAATAAAGGTAACAAAATACTAATATCCTCCCAATGAAGATTTCCTAGTATGACCTCATACATCGGAATGCACATAATCAAGAATCCCTTCAGTTTTGTGTTTTCCAGTCATAAAACTGACTCTAGTCTGTTTTCCAAGAACACAAAACTTACAAAGATCGAGTTTGCAGCTTTTAACATCATGCAACAGGTTTCTTCTATGCAATTCTGTCATCCCACGTTCACTGAGATGACCCAGACGCATATGTCATAGCTTTGTACTATCATCATCTGACTCCACAGAATGAACTCCGCCTACAACTGTAGTCCCCAACAGTTTGTAGATATTACCTGCAGTTAACTTTTCTTTCATCACAGTCAGTGCACCCTTAACAATTCTGATGATTTTCCTATCCTCATCTGTCTTAGGAATAAAACAATTTTTGTGTAGAGTGCCCAAAAAGATTAAATTCTTCTTTAGATCTGGAATATGTCTGACATCACATAATGTTCTAACAGTGTCATCATACATCTGAATTTTGACTTCACCAATACCAATAATATTGCGGTATTTATCACCACCTAAATAAACTGAGCCAGAATTAGTTAACCTGTATGAAGTAAGCCACTCTCTGTTAGGTGTTATGTGATAAGAGCATTTTGAATCAAAAATTCATGCATCTGTGAACTGAGTTGATGAAACTGAAAACATGTCGTCATCACTGCAATCTGAATTGTCACTCTGCAACACATTTACAGACTTTGATGATGCAGCACATTTCTCCTCATTCTGCTTCTTCAGCTTTGGACAATCTCTCTTTATATGACATGACTCATTGCAATTATAGTAATGAATTGTTTTTTTGTCTTTGGACTTGGATATAAAATTTCGCCTTTTAGAACCCTTATTCTCTTTCTTCCTTCCACGATCTTGCTTACCCTTAACATATAAATTGTCGCCATGAGAGTTTTCCCTTGCATTCTGCTTCCGCTGGTTGTGAGTCAACAATGCTGCAATAATCTCATCAACTTTGATAGTTTCTTTCTCATATGTAAGAGTAGTCACCAGGTGTTCATAGGAAGAAGATAGTAAACACAATAAAATCATTACTCGGTCTTCATCCTCAATAGTCACAGCAAGCCGTGATAAATCTGTGATTATTTGATTAAACTCATTAACATGTTGCGCCAGATCAGAACCTTATTGCATGTTCAGCCCATACAGCTTTTGTTTTTGATACAATTTATTTGTCACTGAGTTTTCAATTTCTTTCATATCTCCCCTGGAGATTTTAGATTAATCACGTGATACATAATTTCATCTGTCAGACATAGGCGTATAGTTATTGTCGCTCGTTGTTGCAATTTTTCTCAATCATCATCCTCTATGACATCTGGTTTTATTGCCAGCAAAGCTTTTAAGATTCTCTGTTGTTTTCTTGTTGAGCCAACAGATCTTTTACTTTTGTTTGTCACAATCCGAAGTTATCAGTTCCATCGAACTTCACCACCTTGAATTTTACACCAGAAAATATCATTTGAAAATAACTCCTGTAACAAATTATTCTGCAAATTCCTCTGCAAATCCTTGCTCAGAATTTTTTCAAAAAGAAAAATAAGGATTGAAGAAATTCTCTTAACGAAGTTGCCTTAATTAAGTTTTTTTAAGAAATTTTTTTTTTTTTGTAAAGAAAAGATTGAAATATTTCCTTAATTAAGCTTCTTTAATTAAATCCTCATTGATTAAAATATTTCATTTAATTAATTGAACTTAAAAAACTTTCATTTCTTCAGCCTCTGCGCCTTCGAGATTTCTCTCCATCATCAAAAGGAATAAAATCAGAACTTAATTTCTTTCCAATTTTCTTCTCCGTCTCCCGCAAAGGAATAAAATTAGAACTTCCAAATTCCTTCTCCGCAGACTCCTCCCGCAAAGGAATGAAATCGGAGCAAAAAATTTCTTGCGCCTCCAACA